AACTTCCTGCAGTTTAAACACTTAAAGAAAAAAGTTTAGGTGTTTTAAAACAAAAATAATTTATATTCAACTTTATTAGAAACTTGCAAATTTAGTGCATCCTTGTCCTTCAGAAAGCGCATCACTTCCAAAGTAAGTGTGAGAAACCTCATCCCAGAGGTAAGTATCAGGGATCTCTTCCTCCACCACACAAAACAAACACCATTATCTCACGTCTCCAAAAAATTTAAATCCATATGCCAATGCTTGTAGTTACAGGAAGATGTCAGCACAAGGCTGACTAAGATATGAACTCTTTCAAAGAGCACTTGGGGCGGTTTAAAAAAAAATAAAGTCTACACAGAGCACAGGGGTAACCAGAACATACAGTGCTGACTCAGTTAACTCCCTTACAAGCACAGGGAAGCTAAGGTTATCACAAGAAGGCTACAGTGCTTTCTCCTGATAACGACCACTAATAGGCTTCACCACCATAGAAGCTCACAGACTTAATTCTTTCTATTCACAATGTGCTTTGTATTTGCAAATTATAATATCAGTTTTATTCTGGAGTGAGAAGATGGTTACTTGCTTGCAGTAAGTCAATAAAGGAAATATTTTAGAAAGACTGCTATGGTGCTCCTTTGGATTCATTTTGTGTGTGCAAAACATCAAAAAGATTAATTTTTTTAAAACGCTAGAAACAACAACTCACTCAACCTAAAAGTGCAAGTTCATTTGCTGACATTTAGTACAGCAGCCCAATAAAATAAAAATCTTCAAGGTCACATCCTAGTTTGTAAAGTATATCTCCTTCCTTGCACTCTACACACTAGCTGCCGTTATCAGTCTTTTGGACACTTTAGATATGTACTTGCAGACCAGTTTATTAAAAATATTGCAGCAGCACATTTCTGCTTAACAGTTTAGAAAACTCACTGTACAGAGCTTGCACTCACACAGCCACAGAGAGGCTTCATAAAAAGTTGATTTTTTTTTAAAGACAAGTATTTTACATCTTGAAAAAAAAAAAGTCACACTAAGCTTCACCTCCAATTAAGCACCAACCTAAATGTAAGGTTTAGAACAACTATCCAGAAGTATCCAGAAGAAAAAAAAAAATAGAATGTTTGTTCAAGAGGGGAAGAAAAGGTATTTCATAGAAAAAATAACTGGCAGGCATTGTTATATGCCTAGTATCACTGCAAGCTCCTAACCAGCAACTCATTCTCAGGTATCTTAGTGGGAACATGGGTTTAGTTTGTGGGAAGCAGACCTCTTTCCAAATCCCTCCCAGGCGTTAGTTTCACTGAGGAGATTTTGGAGGGGTATTCTGTTCTTTATTTAAGCGTTTGCCAACGGCTGGAGGGGACGATCTGCGTCCCGACTGTCTCCTCTGGTCTTTGGGTTGTCCAGGATGTGACTTTGCAGGAGGAGGTTCTCTGTTTTTCTCTATTGTTTCTGTGGGCTTTCTTTCTTCTTTCCCACATGCTACAGTGTTTGGCTTCTGTTCTTTCTGGGGTTGCAATGTAGGAGGATCCTTAGTTGTTCTCTGGCAGATTTCTGCATAACTAGGTTTTCGCAGTTCCTGCGGAAGGGAAAGCAAGCGGGACAGAAGAGTTAAAGCAACCTGAGGAAAAACCACTTTGTTCTGTGAACAGAACAGGTCAAGTCTGTGTCCCAAGAGACTGCTGCACTAAAACATGCAGATGAGGGCTTAAGTATGAAGTTTACAGCAGCTGCACAGACAATAAGGGTCAAGAAAAGGTAAAATGCAAAACAGCATGCCAGATAAATGGGATACTGTGACAGGGGAAAATATAAAAACAGCTGAAAGGCAACGAATACTCTGGTTTACTTATCAGCTGATGGATTCCTGCTTCTATATCAAGGATACCACAAAGAAGAAAATTCAGATACAGAACTATCATTCACCAAGCTACCTTCAACACTTTTGCACTGTTAATTGTGCAACTATCATGCAAGTAATCACAAGGCCACCAGCATGCAAATTCAAGGATGCTGGGCTCACACAATTAAGCAAGGCTGGATAGCAATAGAAGTGGTATTTTGTTAAATGCATCAAACTGGACAACTAAGAGAAAGTGAAGTAATAAGGTCACTTACTATGGCAGCCCCATTGACTTGTACCGATTTACATGCAGTACTGAGTGTGGAAGAAGAAAGCCTTTCTGCACTCTGTGTCTCTCTCTGCTGTTTGTCCGCAACCTTGGAGTCCCTGGAAGCATCGAGCAGGAAGCAAAGCTCATGAGAAGTGAAACTTCAGGACAGATGAATGATCTAATAATGGGTCTAAAACTTTGACTATAAGAAGTTATAGCTATAATTTGCCTATCACATTATGACAAGCATTGCATTTAAAAGTGCTATCAAACTTTAGAAAGAGATACTCCTGTGGAACTTGACGCTACTTGCAATATGTGAAATTCTGATAGCATTTGGTTATTCAGACAACAGTACTGCCCACAGGATCGTGGGTTTACTCTCTGTGTTTCAAAGCTACTTAAATACAAGACAGTAAGGTATTCATTAAACTTTTAAATACTTGCATTATTAATGAAAAACAGCATTAAACCTTTGTCTGCTGAATGATTATGACTAAATCATTACTATTGTATTGTTCAGAAACTAAACTTTGTTGCCTTTTACTACAAGTACAATATACCATAAAATACTATTTCTTTCACTGAGTAAAATTTTAACAGCTATTTACAATGTTCCACCTAGCCTTCTGATGACAGAAAATGCAGATGTGATTCAGAGCAGAATGATTACAGCCACATAATTAAGTGCTTACTCAGAAGACTGGGATGGCGAAGGAGACCTTTCAAATGTCCTGGGCAGCGTAGAAGAAACTGGCAACAACGGCTCTCGAGGAATTCCTGATGGAATAGTGTTTGTACTTGCATCCACATTAATGTTCTGAAGGAGGAAAAAAGGCGCAGAAGGGCAATCATAATATGCAATTAATATGTTTTGCCTGAAAATTAACACAATCATGAAACTGCTTATGCGTTGATTTATAAAGGTAGATGATCTACAGGAAGACAGAGAGTATATGTATTGTAACAAGTAGCATTTTTACTTTGCAATTACTTAGAAACACAATCACACACTGTAGCTCTTTCCCACAAGCTGCAAGCTTAATTCCCTTTGGGACATATCTAGATGACAAAATCACTGCTTTCAACCTGTGAATTTTGCACCTGCTCGTGACAAAGCAGGCTTTGTGTCTGTTCTCATAACCATAGTTAGGCTATTAAGACAGATGTCTCCTAGAGTTATGCACTAAGAACTGCCATCTTCAAAGCTCTAACTCTAAATCATCCTAACAGCTGGTACTAAAAAAAAACTCATCTTAAAAAAAAACTAAACCAAAAACCCTCAAGTTTTTGCAAACTAGGATATGACCATCATTTAAAAGTGCCTTTCTTTTGCTATACTGTGATTGGCTACCAAGCATATGAGGCTTTTTTAATAGCCCTCAAAAGATTCTGCTAGTGTCAAGTGACACTGTGCTTCCAGATAAAGGCCAACAGGTTCAAGACACAGTATTACAAAACAAGAGAAAAGACAGACAACTTTGTACCTTGGAAAACATATTTCTGACACTCATAACCATTTTGTTTGTTTTAAAAAGTGCTATGTTCTTTTGTATTGCTTCTGGCCCACCTGACTCCAGAACCAGAACAGATGCTAGTAAACAGAAAGAAGAAAACACAAGCACAGAAGGAACAAGAGAGCCACCCTTTCCCCCTTTCCCCCAGTACAGCCACCATTCACAGGTCATAAAATATGAGACTTCCATGGTCACTGTTAGAAGGGAAATTGGTATTTTGATGACGTTGATATATATCAGACAGCAGATTACTACAGTAGATCTAAGCCTACTTTTACTCAAAGCACAACTATAAAAGGTGGATGTTTAGAAATAAAAGAACAGCTTCTCTAGTTTTACTCACTAGTAAAATAGCTTGCATAATAGCATATGCAAAGGCTTGAAATTGCAAGCTGCTAAGCATTCTGGCCCAAGTTCATCAGAGCTTGTAGGTACGTGGTTAATTGTGAAAAGCTTCAAGTCAAGCAGACGTGCAAGCATTGTTCCTAGGCTAAAACACTGGGCCTCAATCTGACAGCATTGCAGCTTCCTACTTAAAAAATGAGGGACGCTTCACAGCTGCCATTCCCCAGAGCTGTGTCTAGAAGAGCACCACAGAACAAAGAGCATAAAGCTATGATGCATGTTGAAAACTATACAACTTAAGTTCTCCCAGCTCCTGTACACTGCACATTAAAAAAAAGAGTAGCACTGTGTAATTCTACTTCAGCACTCCACACCTCTATATCAGGTGACATGAAAAAATGTTGAGATCAAGGTGAAAATCAGCTTGTACACATTGGCAAGATTCTAAGGTTAGCTCAAACGCCTTTACAGTAGAACACAAGTGCTCTTTGGAGCCAGTTGCTATTATCTTATTCTTTATTAACACCAACAAAGAAAGGCAGCACAATCCCTTTCTTCCACACAATGGTACAGATTAACTCTTGCTAGTCAAAAAAAGAAATTGAGAGATGAAAGCAATCTTTTTAATGTGACAGCACATTGCCCTGTCATAAAACCTCAGTGCCTGACTTGACCCTACAGCTGCCTCTACCGGGCAGAGGTGCAAGTTCTTTACGATAAGTACGATGCAAAGCAAGTGCTAGATCTGCAATGGGAGCAGCGATGGGCTTTCAGCTGCATTATCAACAGCAAGTGATGGAATTATATTTAAAACCTGCAATACAATAGTAAAAAACTACTTCAGAAATAGCAGAGGTAAAATACCTTAAAAATAGACAGCTCTTGGCCAAGAACAGACTACAAGCTGGAGTACTGTATGACACTAAATTAAACACTGCTCTTACCACAGCACTGTCCTGCACGCTCCCTCTAAATGCAAGCCTGGAATACAGTTGTCCCTATGGTCACCGGCAGGAGACTGAATAGATGGCCTGCCTGTGCAATCACTGCCTCAGGTGCAGGCTACACTGCTGCTTCCTCCTCCTTTTATCTACAAATACCTTCCCTACCCACCCCTGATGTGTGGGCACCAAAGAAAACTCTTCTGCAATACACTGGGTTTAAAGATGAGAGAGATTTTGGTGTTTCACCAGGTTGCTTTGCACTGCTACATCCAGGGGTTGACTTCTCCAGCTGTGGTGCAGTTAGAAAAACACAAATTAAACTAGAGCTAGCAAAAAAAGACAGCACAGACTTCATAGCCTAGACTGTTCCATGGTGTGCACAGTTATACCAGTCTAGATGTAGGAGAACATACTGTCACTCACAGATGGCGTGGTAGAGACAGTTCTAAGAATGAAATCTATGAACAGCTACTGAACACTAATTTTCAGCTGCATCTCTACTACATCTAGACAGCAGTGATTGCCAAATCATTCTACTATATTTGTATCTTTCTAAGCAATATGACAAGACAATGCTGGGATCCAGCTGGTTTTGGTAACAGTTCTTGTTCCAGCTATGATGCCTAGTGTACTGAGACCATGTAGGCAGCTTCTTTATATTTCAGTGCTTAAAAGTTTGTCTCTGTCAAAGTGTTTCATATACAACTCAGAACTCTGACTTCCCAACAGGAGGGAAATTTATGGCATTTTTCACCTGAGTCTATCAGAAAGCCTGAGGCAATTATGAATAGCAAAGAGCATATTTTCTAATCTCTGCTATTAACACCTACTTACAGTGGTGCTCATATTCCACACCATTTCAAAGAGAATACCCAAAAAATTCTAAGATGACGGCGGCAACAGCACATCACTGACAGCGGTTTTTAAAAGCATTTCTTATGACCTGTGTAAAATCACAAGTTTTTCCTATGTATAAACCATCAAATCTGAAAACAAGAGCTATGCAATTTTTTGTTTGCCCAACAGAAATGAACACTGGCTACTCACTCTTTCTTTTGATGTTCCTATTACCACACTGGACAGTCTGTTTTCAAAAAGGTCTTCGGTCTTTAGGTTGCCAGCAGCCCCAGGTAATGGAGGAAAGCTAGATAAACCCAGTTCAAAGCTAGGAGATGGAGGTTTTGGGGGTGGTGGAGACTGTGTTTGGCCTCTCTGGAATAGAAATAACATGTTGAGATTACTGCACTGGATGACAGAAAAGACAGACCTGAGACTCTAAACTGTATTTTGCATTTGATTTACATCCGTGAAGCCCTAGCGAGGCCTCCCCGATTCCCACCTCCCAAGAAAACCACACAGTATCAAGGAACTGATGCTTCCATTTTCCACTGTTGCCCTTTAAATATTTAAATGGAATGGCAAAAGCATCCTTAAAAATTTTATATGCCTAAGCTTTAGTGATACTGCTATAGTAAGAAAAGTCTTGCTGACCCTTCCTTCAGAATGGACACTTACACAGAAAGGAAGACAGGCAGGTTTAGATATCACAATATAGTGGAAATATAGAGCCCATTTATGGGCAGTTGGTAACATTCTGAATGAGTCAACAAGAATCTTATGTCCAGTTATACTAAGAAACGGCAAGACAGCATTTCTTGCATGTAGTGTAGACAACAGCAATTTTCATCTCATTAATATGAATTTATAGGGTCACTTTGCAAAAATGCAAGAATAAATAGAAAAATTCTCCCTGTTTCAAAAATAGTTTTGACAACTAAATCTAAGAAGAAGAAGAAATGTCCCAGGTGAAAAGACATCAGTGGGCTAAATGCAACTATTGTGCACTACAGACAACAGTTCAGGAGTTAAGAATATTACAGTTAAAGACCACTTGTGAGGACTGCTTGTAAGGACTGGTAAAGTTAAATTCTATTTACACTGAAAAAACAACATTGCTTTTGTAATATGCTGTAACTGAAGTTACTCATTAACTTCATCTACATCATGTAAACAAAGAAGTAACTGTTTCATGACTGAGCTCAGGCATGTGCCAAAATGATCTCTGCTGCAAAATATCAAATGCAAAGTAGTTTTTGAGACTATTCCTATTTTGAAAAGGGAAATATTTATGGGCATGTAGCCAACATGGTCAGAGTGTGAGAACAATGTTGCTGGAGAGAAAGGTGTTGCATTACTTACTGCTCTTCCCCTTCCTCGTTAAGAGCAAGAGATACAAAACTACCCTTGAGGTCTTTTCACAAACTGTAGCTTATGCCAGAAGTGTGCTGAGAGCCAAATAGGGAAACAATCAATACAGAGACAAGAACAACTGCAGCTCCTAGGACTGCTGCTGACCCAGCATCACCCCTCAGAACACAGTTGAAGAGTGCTACAGCCATGGAGGCTGCAGACCTCCAAAAATAGAAGTCAGATGACCTGACAAAAGGGTCACAGAGAAAGACTACATGTATCCAGCTCAAACTGAAAGAGAACCACCTTTTTTTTTTTTTTAAGAATAGTTCTTCAAATCACAGCACTTAATTTTCTTAAAGGAGACTGAAGTCCCACAATAGATAATGCTTTTATATTTGTTAGAAATATGAAGTTAAACATATGAGTCCTAAAAAACCCAACATATTAAGAGACAAGTAGCATTAACATCTTAAATTAATAAGACCAGGGAGGACTTAAATGGTTTTTAAGCTATCAACTGCATAAAATTGTTAACTTGTTACGACAAGTTGAGTAACTGGCTTGTATCTATAGCTTCAGATACAATCTGATCAAAAAGGGTCGTTCTCTGTCTCATGTAGGCACGCATACTCTCTAAAATTTTTCTTTTAAAAAATACAACAAAACTGAAAGAAGTCATCACTTCAAATACAACTGATTGTCCTGATGTCCTATGTACACTATTTGCTACAAAATCACACAAGAAATAGGATTTTGGACTCAATTTCCAGTCTAAAGGAGTCAAAGTTCAATCTTTCACTTTGGAGTACGCCCCTGCCTAGCGTACACCATTGTGGGTGTGCAGCAGCTCTCACCTCTGTTCCAGTTGCATCACTGGACAGATTGTTGGGCCAGGAGAGACTAGAAGGAACGTGGCTGCACAGGCTGCCATTAATGCCTGGTGCTGAGAGAAGTGAACCATGGGCCTTCAAAGAAGTCATGTCTATCAGTTTTAGATTCAAAGTGAACACAGTATTTAACGCCAGCTGAGTCAGAAGAGCTTCTCTGCTCAGTAAGAATGTTCAGGATAAACCATTCACTCCAGCCACTCACTTATAAGCCTAAACTGTACCACTTACTTGATCTTTCAGAGACAGAAAAAAAATGTCGATAGGAAAACATAAATCTAAACATTCAATTGGCTTTGAAAGGGCAATTTTGAAAGGGCAAAAAAAGAAAGAAGTATTGAGAAACCTACGTGCAAACTGATCTGACCGAGCCCTGAGAAGTATGACAAGAACTAAAAGCAATAAAAGGGAAGGGACCACTTATTTTATGCTTTTCAAATCTTGCTGCTCCTTTATCTAAGTCCCCTAAGGCTACTCAACAGCAGGAGGCACGAGTACACAACTGTGATAATTCCAGACTTGTAATAAGGTCCAGTTGCTCATGCATTGGGGTCACTTTGGAATTGTAACGTGAATAAAGAAATAACATGCTTCAACTTCATGAACATGCCACGTGTGACAAAAATGAATTGCAATGAAGTGTCTAGTTTTATCAAATTGAACTTCAAGTCCTACCAAAAAATATGACTATTTTCTTCTACACAATATCTAGTCACACCTTTTCAAGTATCAAGGCTATTTAGGTATTTATGTTAAATTTAAGCTTAGCCAAACTGTAATATTTCAATAGCATTACTATACCTTTACCAAGTAGTATTTGGAGAGGCATTTAAGAAACAGAACTGACCACTTAACTAATATGCTAGCTATGCATTATCTATACACATTGATCTACAAAATGTTCTTCAATGTCAACATGAATGGTAATGGAGTGATTTGAACTTCAGCTTAGCTATTTACCTCCTCCAGATGTGAGCACTGTTAAAAAAATTAACATAAAGATGGAAATTGTTTGCTACTATAAAAGAGTAATTTTAGCTTTTCCCTGACTTCTGCATTAATGGACAATCTTCTCTGATACCCAAGTGCAGTAAACTCAAGTGACTCTAATGAGCTGCTGTCTTCAGTCAAATGTGACATACAACTGCTTGTGCAATAACTTATCTCACCTGCTACTCCACATAATATCCATACTATTGCCTTGCCACCCTGCTTTTATTATAGATGAATACAGTCATAAACACTCACTGTAAACTTGTCCTCCCTTTTCTTTCGGTAGCCATATGAGTTTTTCCTAAGGGAAAGAAAGCAGTTATCAAAACCTTGCCTATAAATGAATGGAAGGCAGCTGGTGAACACAAGAGATAGGAAATCAAATTGCTATTTCATCCATGTTCACTCTAGACAGGTTATTAAAAACATGTTTTAAGGAAAAATTCCTAGCAAGCTCATTAAAATAAAGGTACAAATCTTACATAGTCAGCATAAGAATACACTGGTTAGAAATAATTCCTGCATTAAAAGCATCTTGGTGCAGATTACATATAAGGTTCAGACAAAACTTCTCAATATCCAAAGTAAAGGGTTTAGTTATTTTTTATTTTTTATTTTTTTTTTTAAATAGCCATGTAACTTTTGAAATATGTTACAGTAGTTATAAATACTTTCAATTCAGATAAGTCTGCTCCAAAACATTTTCAGCACTTCTCATCTGGCCCTGCTTCAGGTAAAGCCTCTCCAAGCAGCTGAGAAATTGAAATGCATTCTAACTCAGTTTCAATATATTTTCTAAGTTTTCTGTTTGACTTTTAATATTCTGAATTTAATCAATACTGAAACAACAGAATATAAAGGTAGTATTCCTGTAGTTTATAGTTTGGGCAATCTTGTTTTCTATGTCCTTAATCAAACTTTCATCCACTAGTTATAACACAATTTGGCAAATTAGATTTAGAAAAGCATTATAAGCCTTGCACAAATCCCCCACTTAATTTTGCAATTTGTCTAATATAAGATCATTTGCAAGAGATGTGAGTTACCTTCCGATTCAGTAAGTTACTCAAAATATGATATACTTGGAGACACAAACACAGCCATCATTAAAGATAGCTCTACAGTACTTTGTAGAAGGACTCACTAGAACCATATCTAAGAGAAGCCTGCTAAATTCTCACATTACATTGGTACCACCTATTTTCAGCTCCCCAGGTAGTTGCTTTGGTTTTGTTGTTTGTTTTGCAGTTTGTTTTGTGGGCTTTTTCTTTTGTTTGTTTTGGGGGGGTTGTCTTTTTTTCTGGGGGGGTGGTGGTGCTTGTTTTTTTGTATTTTTTACTGCATGACAGCAGTTTACTTAGTTGCATGTAATCTTTTTTTCTCACTCATAATATCCCATCACCTTTTTGTAAACATCTAATTTGGGCAAAATTCTGATCTTTGAAATAAAAAAAATTAACACGAGCGCTGCTCGTACAGGTTTAAGTGCACCATCTACACTGCTGAACAAAGGAATGGACAGAACTGCTTCATAAAAGTCAAAACAAGAGATTTGATTATATAGGATCAGATATTAGGGTTGTAAATTGTTCCACCAATTGCCATTAATGATTTTAATTTGGTAGGAAGGTATGCAAGCCCACCTTGCATTTATTCTATATTTAGCACTTTCTCTGAAGTACTTTCCAAGATTTTAGCTTTGAAGAGAGCCAGTCACAGTTTGATATAGTTATGAGACCAGTACTAGCACCGCATCTCTGTACTAAAAGCAGCGCAGAAGCAGCAACAGCAGGTTGCTCAGAGGACAGCTACTGTCACACTCACCTTCCTCTCCCTAATCCAGGCGAGGAGTCCACGCTGGTCTGCTCCACCCGCCCCGTTCCTGCGTCCCTCTTGGTGTAGCTGGTGGCCGCGCTCTGCACCCGCGTCCGGCCCTGCCCCGGCTGCCGCGTCTGCGGGCTCCTGACGCCATTGATTAAACCATCAGCAGAAAAGTTGAATATTGTGGGACTGTCTAGAAGCCCAGGTCCCCTTTCTGCACTGGGTACTGTATGTCGTATATGAGACTTGCTAGGATTCCTATAAATTCAAAAGTCATTTCAACATACATACTATGAGAGAACTTCTGAGGCCTAAGTCTACACACAGAATTCAGAAGTAAGATGTTTAGACCTTTATTGTGTATTTCTTTTAGAAGAATAATATTCATTTTAATGGGTCATGTGAATTATCAAAATTAACTTTCTCACTGGATTTTCAGCTATGGCTTTACTAAAAATGACTTGAAACTGAAAAGGCTAGACTAAATATCCTGCTCCTTATGTCACCTCTCATAATATCTAACTGGAATTCCCTAAATCATGGAACTGACAGTTCTCAGGTTTTGGACAGTCCATTTACATTTAGAAACCGTGCATCCACTAGCCACAACAGCACTATCTGCCCTTTGGCTTCTCTTAACTTAGCACCAGGTTCAACTTCACAAGTGTTTCCAAGTTAGCTGGTGTTACTGAAATAAGCAGATTAAACCCCCACGTGTCAGGTAATAAAACAGTATGTATATTGTTAAATATGGTTGAACTTACCTGTTCCTGGGAGGATACTGTCTGAGTGTAGTCAACGGAGAAGCAGCAGGCTTGAAGGTTGGAGAGGTGAACCCATTGATAAATCCAGTATTTGGAAATGGTGTTACCTAAAAGACAGATTGCATGCTTATAGTTACAAACGGATTTTTTTTAACCCCATATTTTATGTCATTTTGTATGCAGGGCAATACTTGAAAGACTAGCTCAAAGAGCAATAGAGCATTTTTCCAGTGCCATATAAACAACTTTAAAAATGCTTGGTTTTGACAGAACAGCCACTACGTATATTCAAGTTCTGATTATTTGTTAAGAGGACTGAAAAACACTGAGCCAAAATTCTTGGCTGTAACACTCCTATTTCACACCATACTATGCCTGACTTAAGAGTACATGCACACTTCCTCAAAGAATCTCTAGCCTACACAGCCTGTAACTGTTTTTCTTCTTTATATGCAAATCCTACACTAAAAAGAAAAAAATTTCTTAGTTCCTCATTCTACTTACCTTCCACATGACATCTTTCTAAACAAAGGCCAGAGAAGAAGTGATTCTGCTTCTTTTCACATCTTATCACCCTACTCGACACGTGAATTACTGGCTTGTTACACAAAGAAGCAGCACTGATTTTTGGATGTGAGCCCATATCAATGTCTTGTATTAACAAGACAGATCAAAATTTGAAGCATGTTCATAGCTTACAGTAATTTCTCCAACCTCACTAGCATTTTTTTTTCAAGTGTACAAAAAAGTTTCATGTAGGAATTATTAGCAACAGTAAATGCTTTTCTCCCACTAAAAATAACCAAAATGCAGAACAGTGATTTTTATGTAGCACTCTTTCTACACTTAAGTGATGAGAAACAGCCAGGATGAAGATTGTTTCCTATAAAGGTATCTTTAAGCTTGTTTAACCTTTCTTGCAAGAGTTAAAGCAAATCACTAATCAATGGAAAATGAAATAACACCAAAGCTGTCATGTTCAGTACCCTTAGCCTACTCTACCACCCATGACAGCAAATGCTACCTCAGACTCCAAAAATAGGCCATTAGGAGCTTAATAAGGCTATTTTAGGAGCAAAGTTTCATACAAATACTGCTTTGAAGTGTTTCCTGCTTTAACAGTTAGAACTTGAATGCTGTAATATTCAAACAAAGCTAGTAAGCAACTACGGAACCTGAATAAGAAGATGTGGAACATCCTAAAGGAGAATAAGCTTAACTAATTGCTTAAAGGGACAATAACAATACTGACCCCTTTTTTCTTTATAAGGATGGGTGACTTTTTGGAGGGGGGGAAAAAAAAGTAATTTTCATTTTACAGTAATACCAAAAGCATCAATTTTGTTTCTCCACAGAAGTTATCTGGCTCACCAAAAGCACACTTCTGATTTTTTTTTTTTTTTTTTTTTAAAAGCAGGACAAACTAGATCTTTCCTCAAATATTGTTAAATACTTGATGAAAACGTACATATGTTTTAGAATATGGCAACACATGCCCTCAAAATTCTCTTTTCAGAACTACAACTGTATGCCCACATTACTGGGTGTACTTAAGCTCAAATTATAGATGAGACAAAGTTCTGGTAGTGTTCATACTGAAGCAGAAGAGAGAAACAGCTCCTATATTTGCACACAAGTCCCTACATGCAAAGAAGAACCCTGTCTCATGAAAATTTTTCCTGTGCCATTGTTCCTTGTGGTCCCTGTTGCCCTCACAAGTAATTCCTATTCAAATATAGCTCTTCCTATAAAAGGTTCAGGAAACATCACATTACATTAAGGTACACAAAATGTAGCTAACCAATGACAATATGCTGCAAAACAGCAGGAGGCAAAGCTATGCCAGTTAATTTTCTGTTTTAACTACGAAAGGTACGCGAGCTTTAACGCCAGCAGACTGAAAACGTCTTCCCCCCTAAGGCCAGGACTAGTAAGCTTTCCAGAACACAAGTTCCAGGATGACATAAGGCAGACACACAACTATGCTGTGCTTGAACCTGCAGCAAATTAATCTATGTCTTCTGTACCAGTGCCACCCAACTGCTTCACTCTCCCACAGAAAGGCTGTGCAACAGTCGGTTTACCCGGAGGAAGAATCACCTTCCCTGCGGCTGAGCAAGGCGGCTTTCTCCTGGAACACTCCTCACTGTGCTGCCTCCTCTCCCCCGCACCCTGCACCCCCTCAACAAGCCTTCCCCTGCAAGGGCCCTGGCTACCAGCCCTGTGTGTGAAGTGCTTAGCACACCAACTTTTTAATTAGCTTCCTGGGTACCAAGCAGCAAGTTTGTTCAAGGACATTTTAATCTTCTGCCAAAAAAACCCAAAAAGCTTCTTATTTCAAGCACTCCTCCCCTCATTTCTTTTAGCTGCAAGTAAAGAGGCATTTACAGATGGAAGAAAGAGGTTCCAGAGGACAACCTTAGTCTCCTAGCACTAGAGAAAATTATCTTCATATTAGTTTTTGTAGGGTAACAAAGGCAGACTAAAACAGGCCAAAGTAATTCTGATGGGAATGTCTCAGTGGAGGAGATGGAAGCAGCATTGCAGGATGCAGAAGATGTCCCATTAGACTATGTAAGGACTTATTGCTACCACCCTAGCTTATCTAAGGCCTACTGCTAGCTCCTTTAAGAAAACTTTTAAAAATCAAACAAAATAAGTGATTTTTTTTTTCTATTAGCAAAAGTAATTTTATTTTTATTGCCAAAAAAGATGTTACTTTTGCACAAAAGCTGTTTTGCTTTCTGAACATGCATGTTAACCTAGAATTTATTTTCCTGAAAATAAATTCCTGGAAAACTGAAATACTAAGTTATATCCTTATTTACCTGATTCCATTAAGTTTACTCAGTACATGTCAGAATTGCTTTTTCTGATATTCACACACATTCTGAAGATCTGATTTTTAAAGAGGCTTTTAACCATTACTAAAAGCAGTCTTTAGTAACGATTTCTTTTGGTGATCATTAATTAATCATCTTTAGTAAAGAACTACTTCAAAAACTAAAAGGGTAAGAAGAGAACCACAACAGCAGTTTGAGACTAGGTGCAACTGTCAAGTAATTAATGCTGTACACCATGGGAAGAATTTTGGAACTGTTCTTCCAAGAAGAATCAGTATCTTAAACTCCCCTCTTCAGGATACATATGCATCCTACACCTCAAGATTTCACAGGGAAATAGCACAGCTTTGAAAAGAATGCAACTCTTTCATAATCCAGAGACTTACCAATGAAGGGTCAAGGTAGCTGTGCGTGGCTGACCAGGTCTGTGGGCCAATTAAGCTGTACAGTGGAAACTGCTGATGGGGACTGTATACTGGAGGTAAGTAAAAGGATGTTGTGTAACGCTGCTGCGTGTAGAGGTTCATATCCAGAGGTCTATATCCATTCTTTGGCAAAAATGTGTTTATAGCTATTGCCTTTGCTTTTATCCTTGCCTGCAAAGGAGATTAGATTATTTATTTATTACAGCAGCCTTTCAAATTAAATCAGGATGGTTCAAACTAGCTGCTCTCAAACTTTTACTGGACACTTGTCAGTCACTGCTTTCTCCTTCAAGGAAGGCAGGAACAGCTGAATGCTTCCCTGCTGGCCTGATGTTGGGATGGATATACTGCTGCCAGAAAGGAGGAAAAGGAGAAGTGAAATAGCATGTGTTACATTTCAAAACCCATCTCCAGGTTAAACGGTTGCTGAGGCTGGACCACTTAAGTTTATATTGGGAAACACAATGAGCCCCACAAAACCCAAAACATACACACATGCCCCAAAAAAGTCATAATGCTCTACTTACCTTAATTGGTTTTCCTTGGAAAGTTTTCACTTCTTCTCTAAGGTATCTGTAAGCCTTTAAAAAGTAATTATAAAATCTGTCAAATGTAATTTAAACAAAGAAAACTTAATTTTTGACAGGCTGAGCCTAACAATGATTCTTGAAGTGTCTGCTAATGTAAGACTATAGAAAACCCTCATATGTAATCTGCATTTGCCAAGATCTGTGTTATTGCAGAAGTGCTTCGGTAGCATTAAACCAAGATTTTATTCCTTACTATTGAATTGTTTCAATGTGTCAACCAAAATATCAATGATCTTCGTATTAAAAAAAGCTTTGGCCAGGAAGCCAGGACATAAAACCAAGATACAAACTCTTACAGAGTTATTTTTAATAGTATTGATAACTAGATATTAGTTAAGCGGAAGCATTACTGGTTTAGAGGTTTGGTTATTTTTCTTTTTAAATCATTACACGTTTGTGATACTGCTTATGATCTGTCAATCCACCCCTCATCCCACCCTCACTTACTATTATATTCTAAAATGCTTCAAAAATGAAGAGTTACCTGCTGGGCATCGGCTTCTGATTCAAACGTGATGAACCAATTGTCATTATAGGCAAACTCACAGTTGATAAACTTAGGCAAATTATCTCCTTTGAAAAGTGCTTCAACCTCCTAAGGAAGTGGATTTGATAAGAAGGGAGAGAAAAGGGTAGGAGAAAGAAAAAAAGGTGGATGGACAGGAAAAGAAAAACACACATTGATTTTAAGTGCAGAACTCTGGAACCCCAGGTAAGATAGATAAAAATCACTTTTGGGCTTACAATACATAACTGAGAACTTCAGAACATCTGCAGTATTAGCCCTCTCCAATCTTTCCCACTAATGAGAAGGAATTCAAAGAAACATTATCCAATGCCATACTGCAAGTAGAAGCTTCCTGCTCCCTTTAAATCAGGCAAGGTAAGCTATTTAGGCCATACAGAGACACTTAAACTTGGCATCAAGTGCAGAAAAATATCAAATTCTCCCCATCCCCAAAACCACAGGGCCACACAAAAGCCCATGCATCCAGCACAGGGCAGGGAGAACGCGGCCTTTCAGCAGAAACCTGGAGATACACTTCAACTCAAGTGTCTACACATTAATATATTTGAAGCAGAGTCTGTTACCTCAAAAATAACCAGCTGATGTCTACAGAAAAAAAACTTTGGACTTCATATTTTTTAAAAATCATTTGCATATTATTTTTGTCAGAGTTGAGCAGCATCACAAAGCAATACAACTTGGGAGGCCTCAAAGCATTTGGAACTTTGTTCCTTAAATAAAGCCTGACCATGCTACACCAGAAAATCCATCCTATTAAATCTGGTCAGTTAAGTCTAGATTTTCCTGCCTGACAAATTTAAACATGTTAATGCATAAGCCACTTCGCTTCGGACCACCTCTTTGGAAAGACTCTTCAAACTTCTTTGGTTTTAAGCATTTAGGAGTGATTACCCAGTGCTAATATACCCAAACTAGCCCTCAACAACCAAAAGCAAAAAACCCCACAAAATATTAAAACCTAGCCAAGTCTTTGAAAGGTTACATTTCATTTCTGAAGCTAAAAGCAGATGATATTTTAAAGCTATATATACAGCATATCTAACTTCTCCCCTCCGACTCCTTTTAGCATTGTTTCATGTTCCTGTTTATTATGGCCATTTCTTTAGTCTAAGTTTTTTAACTGCAGTACTTTTTTGTGTATGAAGAATATCAAGAAAAGCAATTCCTTCAGAATCTTTATTCTTCCTTGTAAAATTAAATAGAGAGGAAATTAAAATATCTACCCATCACAAAGAATCTGTGCTCCCTCCTTTTGCAAAGTTCAAGATGGTTTAATTTATGACCCAATCATTCTTTTTCTGGTCTTTCCATTAGTCATATTCCCATCTACACTGAAGTAGCACTAAGTATCTTTTAAAAAACAAAGTTCTCCACTCTTGCACTCATTCCACAAGCCAGTGGAGATCTTTATCGGCTCGACACCTCTAACCTCAGCATTATGGAAATATTTGCAAAGCTTTAAGTACTTTACCTTAACAAGCTTCAAGGTGCAGCAGTGGCATTTTCCATTCTTAGACTTATCTTCCCTCATCTTTGTTTGCTATTTCTCCAAGGAGGCAAGCACTAAGTACATATGGATAAGCCAGAGTCCAAGAAAACTAAAGCATCTCTACCAAACACAGCATTGTCAGGTTTTCAACCCTCTGCAGAGCTACAGGTTCTATCAAATAGATTTATTATCTGAACACACACAATAAACTAAGGTTTAGAAATGTTCTTTAGAAACTAACAATGCAGTAAGAAATGGGATAAGCTTACTGAAATCTGCAAGAAATCTAACTTCCAAATCCTAAGGGTAAAGCATTAAAAAACTGAATTATATTGAAATACTGAATAATTACACACTTACTTCAATGGGGGTAGATTCAGGTACTTCACGTAAAATCACAATACAGCGATTCTGATTTGGCCTAACTTTTTCTCCCTTCTCATCCACTTGGACTAAAGGCAACGCTAAGAGAGAAAAGACAAAAATGTATTTTAGTTGTCAGCAAGCATAGTAACTTGCACACCAAAAGATGCTGCAGTTTTATAACAAAGCTTTTTCGGCTAAGCCTCAAATATTTTTGAACATTAAGAAACAAGTAGTGTCCACTTCCCCACTCAGTTTGGCATCATCAGCAAACTTCATCGGTGTAGCCTTGATCCCATCATCTAGATCACTTAAGACCTTAAATAGCATTGGACCCAGTATGGATCCCTAAGGACCCCACTTGTGACAGGTTGCCAGTTTGGAAAGGAGCTATTTACCACCACTGCTGCCTGTGAGCCCATTCCCCACCCACTGCACAGACCACGCAACTCAACCACAATACATCAGTTCCTCTAGGAGGGGACTGGGGGAACCACATTGGAAGCCTTGGAGAAATCCAGGTATGCAATGTCCACTGCTCACCCCACATCACCTGACCAGGTTGCTCTCTGCAGAAGGCAATCAGGTTTCTCAAGCAGTTTCCCCTTGGTGAATCTGTGCTGGTGTTTCCCAAACACGTTCTTCATTTGACTTGTGATAGCCCCCAGGAGGATTCGTTCCATAACGTTCCCAGGGATTGAAGTAAAACTGATGGGCCTATAATTCCCTGCATCCTCCCTAAGTGTTCTTGTAGAAAAGGGTGGCATTAGACTTCTTCTAGTCTTCTGGTACATCCCCTGATCTCCATGACTTCTCAAAGATTATGGAGAGCAGCCTCTTAATGTCAGCCAACTCTTGTAACACCCTCAGGTGTATAACACCCGGGCCCATTGGTTTGTAGGTGTCACCTTCCTGTAACAGTTCACATACCAACTCTCCTCCACCGAGAGCGGGTCAGTGTTTGCATCAAGCTGGATTTTTGTTTGAAAGCTTGAGGCCCAACACTGCTGGCAAAGACAGGGGTGAAGAAAGTGTTGAGAAGTTCTGCGTTTTCCATGCTGTTAGTGACTAATTAACCTCTGCTATTTAACAGTGGGCTAATATTCTCCTTCTGTTGCTGCTTGTTGTTCATGTACCTGAAGAACCCTTTCGTGTTGTTTTTGACTTTTCTGTCCATTTTTAATTCAAGCTGAGCTTTTGCTTTTCTAACTGCATCTCTGCACACCCTGGCAATGCCTTTGTAGTTCTCAATGGGTATTCATCTGCTTTTCCATCTCTAGTACGTGTCTCTTGATTTTCATCAGGCTCAAAAGCTCACAGTTAAGCTAACGGGGTCTCTTTCTCTGCCTACTTCCTTCATCTGTAAAGGGCATCAACTTTTTTTTGTGCTTCCAGGATTGTGTGCTTGAAAAATTCCTGGTGCTCATTAGCTCCTTTATTCTGCATGAAAACTTCCCATGGAACTCTTCCCAAGTGAGGTCTGAGCGAACTGAAGTTTGCTCTTCTAAAATCTAAACCCTCAGTCTTAGTACTAACCTTCAGGGTGCTCAGCAGGATCCCAAACTCCACAATACTGTGGTCACTGCAGTCAAGGCTATCGTAACTGAGATATTACAAAGCAGGTTTTCTTGGTTTGTGAGTAGCAAGTCCAGCAGTGTCTCACTCCTGGCTGGCAAATCTAACACTTGTATGAGGAAGCAGTCCCCTGTCTGTTCCAGGAACCTGATGGGTAACGTGTGAGCTGCTGTTTTCTTCTTCCCATCTGGTTAGTTGAAGTCACCCGTAAGACAAGGTACCACTGACCCAAAGCTTGCCAAAGTGACCCAAATATTGTTTTGTTGACCTTATCTTGGTTTGGAGGTTTGTAGCGGATGCCCCTTGGAGATGACCCCTCTGATCTTGACCCACAGGTCAAGACTATTGTTACATCAATAACAAAAATATTTTCTAGATTAAGGGATTTTTACTTACATCTCAGCACTTCAACAATCAAATCCATATCAGTACTGAGTTTCTTGACATGATCAAGGTTTGCTACTGTCATTATTGGCACATACTGATCACTGTCCATCTGTGATATAAGGTACATGTCACTGGCAAGATTTTCTCTGTTGGGAGAGAAAGAAAAGGGCAAATGTTACAGATGTTACTTCTGCCAATAAACTTGAGACAAACTCTTCACGTAGTAGAAGGCAGATTTCTATACTAAATTTCTTTTCAGCATTTTTCAGCAACTCCTCAGTCCATTCACCTACTATATTTCAGCTCCTAGAAAACATGAAAGTGTCTTTTTTTTCCTCCTTCATGCAATAGTACTGGCATCTTTCTGTTCAGGCAGCACATTACCCCCATGAACTTGTAATGTTGTTACAAGTTTATTACTTCATATGGCCACTGATTGTAACTGGTTATGCAGGAATATACAGATTAGGAATTATTCTAGGTTATTAAGAGATGTGGTTAGGATGCTTTTATCTAGACAAGTGCTTAAGTACAAGTAAACTGTTTTGATGATCTTGCATCAGTCTATACTGGAACGTGTATGATTTGGAGCCCTTTTTTAAAAAATTGATCCTTAAAACATAAAGGGAGCTACCGATGCACATACAAAAAATCCTGTTTTGTATCAATGCAAATTTTAAAATTATTAGCTTAAACAAAGATTGCCAAATGGCTTAAATTACTTGGTTTTAATTTGCTAAAAAACCAACAACAGTCATGAAAATTCACCTGATCTGTGACTGTTTATAACTACTCTCACTTCAAAACAATGTATTTGCTAGTTTATGGTTTATGGTCAGAAGTCGCAAGTAAGCTTTAAGAGGTACATCAATACAATACTCTGCAATATGTGTGTTACTTGCCCCAGATTCTATTCCTTTCCACTCCTTTTTAAATGACAGCTGAGAAACATAGGAACATACATCCCAAGTGAGGTACTGGATCTTGTTAGTTATCCTTCAGTTTGCTACATTTAGGTATATACATACCTAGATAAACAGAATTCCAGTGTTTTTTTCAGTAATTCTCGTAAATCTTCCTGACCTTCTGGCTGCAACTGTTCATTTCCACCTAATAATTAAAATATTTAAATTTATAATTTAGTTCTGCTGTATTATACAATATTGTAATCAAGTCACCATGTCTATTACTGGCTGTGTAAATAGTAACGAATTCAATAAATGTTCATTGTGTATGAGTTCACCGTCCACCAAAATTGCAAAGGAATAGTTTTTAAGAGAGAGAAGAAAACCTATGTCTGACTTCACTTGTTAACCTGTTCTCCAAATACATAAAAATTTAAAGCAGTTTTAGAATAACACCTACAAATACGTCTCAAAGTGAATAATAACTATCTTCTAGCCTTAAGGATTTCTAGCTGACTGACCCCTGACCAATGCAGCTGATACAGCAAGTGAGCAACATAATGGAGATGTTTCATACTTCTGGCCACACTCAAAATTCCCAACACACTAATTCAGAGAAGAGTTTCAAAAACACAGTTATGAAGTATCAGCAGATACCAAGTCAATTAACATCAGATATATGATCAATGAAAAATCTCTCAGTTAAGAAAGAGAAATTAGTTTTTTTCCTCACACCTGGAATTTTCAAAATTACCACGTGGAAAACACTCATTTCATTTTTGTCTTGCTTTAGACCCAATACACTAGTCAGCTGAAGGTAAAAACTAAGTGTGTCAGGGATAGAACTGTTTAAGGATCAGAAGTTTACTGTGGCTTTTAGAGATTTATAAAGCACTTAGTAACATGTTACATAAATGTAAATTAGTTTCTTTTTAAGTATTTCACACCAGCTATTACCCTGCATACCCTTCCCTTCTTCAGTAACTCATCCTTTCCAGCTCTCCTTAGCCTTTCTTCTTCCTAAAGCAGCCTCTAATTTCCTCCCACCATTTTCTCCTTTGCATGTTTTTTTTTCTGATGCAGACAATGCCAACACCTGAGAAACACACACATCAAGCACTAATCGCTATTTCCCTTTCCCAGCTCCTCCTCCCTTGCCAAAAACCCAGAAAAAAATCAGAATTATATACATTTAAAAAGAAAATAATTAATAAAACAAAACCTAGATTTCACAGTTGTGACCACCTATGTTACAATTCATCAAATGGAATAGATCCAACCTGCTTTTCCACTGTTTTTACAACACACTGACTCTTGTTAAAAGTTAACTATTTTGGGCACATAAAGGACATACTGACAAGTTCTAACACTAAGCTGAGGAACATTGTTTCTTTTTAGAGTTCTAAGCATCACTAATATAATATTCTATTTCCCAGTTGCTTATTTAAAATTCACCAATAATGCCCTTTAGGAGAAGAGTCAACAAGAACTTTCTGTATTCAATACAAGCAAGGATGATGCCACCACTGTGCCTGATTTCAGTTTTCTTGATTTCCAGCTATTACGGATTCTGTACTGGCCATTTTAAATACATGTTATAAAATCAGCTAAGCACAATAAACAAGGAGCAGACCTCTCATGAATCTCAGGAAACTTCCAGCACATTTTCCTCTCTTCCCCATTCCTCAACTCAGCTCAAGTAGTAATCCTACATGCATCTTGCAGACCTTCTGTCCCTTTCAGTGAAATATAAGAGTGGCTGAATCTCTACGCTAGTTTCCAGAAGTTTCATAAAACTTGCCATCTGGTATAGACTACAGCTACTAACAGTTGCACTGGAAAAAAGTCATGAAAGTTCATTAAAAAAGAATGCAAAGCAGTTGGACTAAATTGTTGCTTATTTTAGCATTTTTAAGTACAAAATTGATCTTTGAACACATTAACATTACTGCTTGAGACAAACAGTAAATGAATTTCACTTCAGTACCTGACTAGAAACAGGCAGCTTACATAGGTATATATCTAATGCAAATGTCTGCACTAGGGGCTTACACTCAGAGTAACCTTTCAGAAGGTTATATTATACTCAGTTATATCTAGAATTTCTGACTGATTCGATGCAGTATCTCTAAGGCCTAAACTCAAACAGGAAGACACTATTTTCCAAATATGTCTAAGCCTGAAAACAAAAGAGACAGAATTTTCTGGGATCTGTTTGTAGAATGCATATATGTAACAATGAAAGTGGTGGGGTTTTTTTTGTTTGGGGTTGTGTTGTTTTTTTTGTTTTGCTGCTTTTGGTTGTGTTTTTTTTTTTGTTTGTTTTTTTTGTTTGTTTGTTTGGTTGGTTTGTTTGTTAATAGATGCTCACTGTTCAAATGAAAATATATTCCCTTTTTTAAAATCAAGTCCAAGCAAATATTAGCTTTCTCTTACCTGTCTGGGTGGTTTCATGCATAGACTCATACTCAGAATGATCAAGAGCCAGAGGGTTCATACCCATCTGGTCTGACACCGAAACAGGAGGTGATGGCTCCTGCAGCTCTGTCAGCACTGCATTCTGATGTTTTTTGTCACCATCACCATTGGCATCCAGTCCTGCAGAAGAGACGACCAACACTCAAAAAGCATTCCTTCTCATCACAGTAATATCGGAGTTAAAACTAAATCTGAAGTAGCTTACACATTTGCATTCATTTTTTTAAAAAGGACATTAAAATTGAGGAAGTTCTGCACTGAATTTTACCTTCTGCTTGAGCAACAGCTATAAACTTTTATTCTTACCTTCTTTACAAGAATCTGGAGGTTGATCAGGTATTTCTTCCCACGTTTTGCTCACGCTACCATCAGTGGCACCACTTGCTTCCAAGTGTAACATATGATTTCCCCACACCTTTGCATTAGGATTTAACTCAGAAACCTTGGCTGACTCCTACAAAAAGAAATTTCTTTGATTATGCACTTTGTGGATGCACAGCACACATCTCTCTGTTTACATGTACAGTTTCAAATAACAGTATCAGCTGTACAACTTAAAACTGTATTTTCAGTTTTTTTTTTTCACATCTGAATATGTTAATTGAATTGCCATCCCAAAACAGTTTCAGGAACAAAAATGACTGAATTGTGCAGCAAAGAATTCATTTCCCCAATTAAGAATTGCCAGAGAAGGCTAGTCAAGCCAAGCAAAGTACAACCAATATTTCATTCTTTGCCTTTGACAGGCTAACTCAACCTGTACTTGCCCTAGACTCAGGCTAGGTTCAGGCTAACATACAGGTTAACTCAATGTTGGCTATATTATTGTATTTGTCTGTGACATAAAAAAAATTTAGAAACGTGATAGCATTGGCATTTTTTTCTGGACATCTATATAAACATGGAACAGTTTTAAAGAAGCATTATGGAAAACTGAAAGCAAATAAATGTGCCTGACAACTTTTCATTACTACAAGAGAAAAAACAGAGCATTAACAAAAATTTACATTAGTTTGGTCCTAGGCAGGACAAAAAGAATGAATTCCCAAAGCCAAGGTAAATCATCTTACACCAATCTCCTTTAAATTGGATTGGAAACAGACACGTTTATTGGTCATATACAACCATTGTATAAATGGCTATATCTGTGCTTCAGAGACATTGCTCTCTGCAGTGCCAACACCTACAATACTTTTTTTATAGTAACATGAGTTTTCCCTTGTTTTGCTAACGTTTGAACACAATGCATTAAGTTATTCCCTACCCAGAATATCTTTGACACATTTTAATATTATGATTATACCAGGAAACATTATTGCTGATGATAAAACACTAAAAAAAAATTCATTAAAATTTGTTCTGTGATTTCAAGGATGCTAGGAACTTTACAGAGTTTAAGGCAGGCACTTTAAAACTCCATGAACTTTAAAATTGTTCTGAAACACAGTCAGTCGTTATCAGAGTGCACAGAAAACACATCCAGATCTAAAGAATCTCAAACACACCTAAAAAATGATAGAAAAAAAGATCTATGAAAAGTCCAGGTGTTCAACGTAACTAGTGGAATGGTAAGGATTCAAGGTTACTGAGCTTCCATTTTTAATACAAAAGGTTTCCCCAGGTGACAGCAAACAGCCTCCAGTACAATCCACTGCCAGCACTGCAGCTGCTGGGCAAGGTGAGGGCAGCTGCTGGAACATGTGGGATGCAGAGAACACCCCCATCAATACTCAGCAACATTTTGAACTACTACATTCAGTATAGCATTTGGTTTTGCAAAGGGGAGTGGTCAGCTTCAGGACAAAGCATATTTAACTAATGGTACAACATTTTGACTTGTCTTATTCCAATTCCTACCTTCAGCTTTAAGCTTTAACATCAAATCACTTCTTCGGAATACTTACAAATTCATCTTTATCTTGCCATCCCCAGGTACCAACATTTTCTGGTGCTAGCAGCTGATAGGGGTATCCTCCCACTGTGTATGAAGCACCTGTTAAATCTTCAGGTTCATTCTGGAAGTCTTCACTAACTATACACAGTCTGTCATTCTTCATGATACTGTTAGAAATGTTATTGTTCCATAAAAAGCCCATCAGATATTCACCATTACCAGCAGTAACAGTGTCAGAAAGGAGCTGATTTGTCCAGTCAGCATTGCCAGTCTGAAGACTGATGAAATGTGACCATATTTCAACTTGGGGACTGTGTCCATCCAGTTCATAGGAGTGCTCTTGGCCACCCGATCCATCTTCCATCAGCTGTGAAACACATTGATCACTGCCTGGCTGGAACCCTGCAGCACCAGCAGAGGCACCAGCAGAGGCACTGTGTATCTCATAGGAAGGAGTAGCAGCATGTTTGTCTACCTGCTTTGGGTCAACAAACGCTCCAAGTTCTTTGTTTGAGAAAACCTTGTGATCTGACTGCATCTGTTCCCAGCTCGTGGTCAAGTCATTCACTTCAGTATTTAATATGTAACTGGCGTTTTTCAGTTCAGTAGGCCTGGCTTCTAAGAGCTTTAAATCTCCTGGGGTAAAAGCTTCTAGATTCCCTGCTGACACACTAAAACCAGAGAGGTTCTCCTCCTCCAGGTGGATGCTGACACACTGTCTTACTTCATCATCCTGAAGATTACATTTATTTACATCGCACACAATTTTTTCATGAGTTTCGGATCCTCGTTCAGTAAAAGACCCAACAGGAACTTGGGTGTTCCCAACTTTTGGTTCTGGACTGGCACAGTGACATAACTCAGGCACTTTCCCTGGTTCATCATGCACGTGAGAATATGAGTTTTGACACAATGAAGGTAAACAATTATGGGCTTCATGGAAGAGATTACTGGCATCTTCTAGATTTGTAGTGTCATCTATCAGTTTTACACTCTGGTACATACAATTGTCCAAAGGTACAGTGGAGTTACTGCAAGCATTCTGATCATCAGTTAAGCTTTTATTGCAATTTAAGATGTTCTCATGATCAACAATGCTAGCATCCAATTTCTGTTTTACATTTTTTGCCTTTTTATCAATTATGTCATTTTGGTGAACTTCAAGTTTTGTCTGTTTCATAGATTCTACTACATCCCCAGAGATTCTGTTTGACTCAGTCCCTGTATTCCATTGATCTTCCACTGCATGGAAGGAACATACATCCTGTTGCTCATCTTGTCTGAAGTTCATATCCGTTTTATTCATATTCTCATGTTCTACAGACACAGATGAGACACTGGTTTTATTATCTGAATTTGAATATTTGCACACTTCACCTTTATTCCCTGGTGACTCTTGTGAAACAGGAGAGTTTACGCTGTTTTCCTTTAGGGACATCTCATCTACACTTGTGTTACACAGTTCATGAGATGTGAAAGTGCCATCACTTACCCAAGACTGACTTCTGCTCAAGCTACCAGCTTCTTCAGGCATGTCACCTTTTAGCTGAATGATACTCACACAAACATCTTCCTCCATGCCACAATCGTTTGCAACTTCAGTTGATGTCTTGTTTTCAGGGCAAACCTTAATTTGAGTTTGAAAATCAGAACTTTCTTCTAAGTTTTTGTGTATTTCAGTCGTATTCAAAGCTTCACAGCTATTCAAAACTGTACCTGTGCATTTATCTTTCAAGAATCCTTCCAAACCACTCTGAAGTTCAGTAGAGTCAGGTGCAAACATTTGGCCATCACCAGACACTCTTTGAAACGTTCCCTTTTCCATATTTGAGTTTACTTCGCTTTCTGGCTTTAGGAAGTTGGCTTCTTCAGCAAATTTTTCTACACGTTGACTCACCAAAACAGAATCATTGTCCGTTTCCTGTAACTCTAATGATAATTGAAGGTTACCCTTCATATTCTCTGCCACCTGTTCCCCTACAACACTTGAGGGATGCCTACTTAAACTAAACAGTATGATCTCAGAATCAGTATGTCCCTCAGTTTTTCCTGAATTACAAACTTCAGTGTTTAACAATACACTAGAACTAAGATCACTGTGTTTCACATTTTCTGAATTAAGGCTGTATGGGTCCTCTTCAACAGCATCCACCAATTGTACAGAATCACAAGCTCTGTGGAGTGACTGGTCCCAGCTGACAGCATTACCTATGGTAGATGGTGTCTCTTGTCGAGTCTCAGGGATGACTTCATTGTGTATTTTTGCTCTTAGGCCCTCCGTTACTGTATTGTCAGTATTTAAACTCTGCACCTGACACCTTTTAGCCAACAAGTCATCATAAGATTTGATGTCTATGTTACAATATTCCTTTGTTTCCTTTTCCTGCACATTTGACCTATCTTCTTTCTTATACTCAAACAGTTCTTTCTGTGAATTCAACTTAGCTTCCACTTGTGCGGATTGCTGCACTGGAAATTCCTTGCCAGCGTCTAAAGGTCGTGCCATGCTGCACATTCCTTCAGCAGG